TTTTTTATCAGTTATCCATACTTATCTGAACATGTTAATTCTTTAGATCAGTATACGTAGTATATATTAATGATAAAAAAAACAAGAGAGAAATATTTCTTCGGAAACATACTCTGTACATAGTATGTCTCTAGTCTAAGCTCCAAAGAGAATATACAAGCACGTAAAATTTTGAATATACAAGCACGTAAAATTTTGAAAAACCAATTTCATGAGAATATTTCCAGCAGAAAAAGGTAAAAGGTTCAGAAGAAAGATAGTAATTCAACCCTTCACGTCAAGCAATGAAAAACATGACATAGCATATGAACAAAAATGTTGGATATCATACTATAAACTCATGGAACTGAAATATGAAAGCCAAGAAAACTGAGGGAAAAATTAAACTTACCTTTACGTCACTGGATTAATGTGATATATGTCAGACTCTGGTCATGTGCGTCCAACGCTTCTGCTACAGTCGACAACAAGACATGTGCGTCCACTTTTGGTCCTCCGACTATTATGTCATTGACACTTTTAATACTCGACTTTGATTTTTTCCATTTTTAGTCTTTGACTATTGCGCTAGAGACACTTTTGGTACTCGTCTTTGCAAATTTCCATATTTAGTCCTTCAACTTTCAATAAAGTGACATTTTTGGTCCTTCAACTATTATAATAGTGACATTTTTAGTCCTTCACTTATTGTGTCAAAATCACAATGGGAGGACTAAAAGTGTCAACTTGACAATACTCAGGGACTAAATGTGGGAAACCTTGAAGTCGGGGATTAAAAGTGTCTCTAGCGCAATAGTAGAGGACTAAAAATGAAAAAATTAGATGTCGAGTACCAAAAATGTCATTGACATAATAGTCCGGGACTAAAAATGGCAAAAACTCTAATACACACATGGATGAGATATGTAATTGGGTTGGGCAGAACACTTACCATGAAGGCATGAATAGTGAAAAAAGCGGATTTTTTATGCATAAGTTAAAACTTTTTATTCATGTTATTTATTTATAAAGTATATCTTAAAGATAAATAGTAAAGACAAATACAAAAGTATTTTAATAGATATTAATAAATGTTTGGTTCAATTTATGATTTTTCAGTTTAAAACTAAACTAAACCAAATCAAGTCATTCGGTTTGCGCATATTGTTACCAAACGATTTACTACAATCAACCCAAACTAAGCAAAATTATCTATTTTCGATTTGAGATGATTCAGTTGAACCAAAGAGTTTTGTTCACCCCTGTTACTAACAATCTAAATTTAGCAAGAATAAAAAAAATCTGTCCACATTCATCCTAATCACAAACCAATATAACCCAAAGGGAATAGTGCACCAATCTTTAAATGATTTAACCATAGATTGAATTTGAAACGAAAAAATCTTTTGTGCATACTACAGACTCCACCCCATAATTTAGCAGCAGCTAATTTACACAAAATCAACAAAAAACAATTAAAAACCAGCAGCTAATTCAGCAAAAAAAGCCAAAAAACAGCACCTAGTCCAGCCAAACATTGACTAATCGGATCAGCATGGAGCTGCTAAAGGATGGGAAATTTGTTGATTCAGTCCCGTAACTTATAGCTATATCCGATATTGGTCCTGTAACTTTATAAACTTGCAATTTACATCCCGTAACTAATAAGTTGGTGCAATTTTGGTCCTTATCTGCCGGAACTTATCAATTTCGCCAGAAAAAGACACATCACCTGCCACATGGTATATTATTTGGAACTCATTTGCTGACTCAATATTGGCCCTTAGCTGGAGTTAAAAAACCAGAGTACGAAAGCTCTTCGCTGAGTGCGTGTACAACCGTACCAAGCCTATTATTGGATCAGCAAAAGGGGTCAAGAGAGTGAGTTATTCTTCAAATCTGCTAGTAACGGCTCTCGATCAGACAAAAGTTTATGGAGTGTGGTTGTGGTAAAAAAGGTTTCTCTTCTAACTTCTTGGACTGATAACGATCCTGGAAGGAGGTTTCGTGTGTGCGCTAAAAGCAGAGTAAGAAGTTCAGCTTTTTAATTTACATTGTTTGCTTCTTCTTTTTACTAAATAAACTAGAAATTTAAGAATAGCATTTGAATAATAAATTTGTTTGACAATTAAAATGTATTTTATATTTTAAGCTAGGTTCTACTGATAAAATTACCATCTTCTATTTGTTGGGGGCATTTGATAATGTATTTTTGTGTTCAAAGTAGTAAAAAGTAAGTTAAGCTTCATCTTGTTATGATACAGACAGAAGGTTGCAGATTTTTTGAATGGGCGGACCCGCCTATGTGCCATCTTTGAACGATGATAATTCCGGGATTGGTTAGAAGACTCAATTCAAAAGAGGAAGAGGTTGTAAAGTTGAAGACTAAAAATAAAAGGCTCCTCATAGATGTTGTGGGGCTAGTGTTTTTGCTCCTAGTCTTTCTCATGTTAAAGATGTGAGAAGTGAAGATGATGTAACATTTCAAATGCTTTATTCTTAAAACATGAATCCAGAAAACTTTAAACTTCATTCAAAATGCTCCTGCTGCAACCAAGAAGAAATAATTTTTTAACTCTAGCTAAGGGCCAACATTGAGTCAGCAAATGAGTTCCAAATAATATACCATGTGGCAGGTGATGTGCCTTTTTCCGGCGAAATTGGTAAGTTCTGGCAGAGAAGGACCAAAATTGCACCAACTTATTAGTTACGGGATGTAATCTGCAAGTTAATAAAGTTACAAGACCAATATCGGGTATAGCTATAAGTTACGGGACTACATTTCTAGTACTACGTATTAGTTAGATTTAAAAATAGACTGAACATATAAAAATAAAAATAAAAATGTCACTTTACCAAAATGCATGCGTTAAAAAGTTGGCATTTATGTCTGAGACATTTAATACATAATATTCTTTTTGTGATACCGATACTATGAAGTGATATTGTTAAAAAAAAAATGAAGTGTCTAATCTACTACCAATAGAGATATTGTCAACATTGGATACAACTATAGCAAATGAAAGATTGAGCACCAAAAAAAGGAGCGGTGGGAGGGGAACAAACAAATGCAAGGACAAAGGGTGCCAATGTTGACAACCCTCATGATCAAGATTACACTCTCAAACCAACAATGTTCACCACTGTTTCACAATAATATAAGTAGTATGTGAGTAGGCATACAGTTACGGAGAGTCAAATATAGCAATTACTATTCTATTCGGAAGAAGAGAGCAACATGGTGGTGGGCCAGATAGAATGGAGGAGAGTGAAGGATGTAAGAAGCTCGTCTGGAGGCACGGAATGAAGGAGCTCGTCGACTTTCTCATAGACACCCTGTGAAATGTGATACTGGAAAACACCTCTGCCGCATATCAAGAAGACCACGTCCCCATCGTGTGGATGGAAAGCAACCGTACGGATGTTGAACTTGTTTTCTTCTTCTACTTGGATGTCTTTAGGAAGCGGAGGCCTATCATTGAAGCGTGTCTCATGAACAAGAGTCCACGAATTGGTAATGTGATTCAACTCCCAAACTTTGACATCAACAAGATGCGGAGGCTGCTGCTGGTCAACCGACGACGGGCGAAATACGTTGAATAATCTGAGTTCCCCCAGGACAGCGCCCAACTCTAGTGAAATAACACCCCCACCACCAGACATAGAGCCTTCAGGAAGGTTGATAAATGCAGTAGAGTGAGGATCGTTCGCCAAATCACAGGCAATGACGTAGTCAGGAGCCTCATCGCAATTTAACCAATAAATGGTTCCATTACAAGTGATTGGGTTAATGAACAACCTAGGGGCCCTACTGGTAGTAGGTAAAGGGTACCAAAACCATGAATCATCATTCCATTGTCTTGATTTTGAACAATAAATTGACATTCTAAACTTCCAACTGTCCCTGGCAAAATCCTCATCTCCACTAACACAGGGAAAATGAATGAATGCCACCTTGAATTCATAACTGCCGCAGCTGTTATTGGCGGGGGGAAGCGGTGGCATTCGTACCACTGCATATCCAATCAAGAAATCTGCGTAATAAACATGAGGGAGATGGAACCACTGTTTGGTTATTGGGTTACAAAGATAGTAGGAGTTTGGATTAGCACTATTGTCGCGTCCATCTAGCGATAACAGCAGCAAGTTACTGCAAGATGCTCTTATGATCATGTTGGGTGAAGGCGGATGGATGCCACCACTGTCGCCTTGAGGAGGATAACTTTTACATGATGTCGCCATCTCCTCCTTTCCTCCCCCGTGGAGAACCACAGATTCCTCCGAAAAGAGTTTGCAGATGGGCTGATAATACTCATGTCCAATATGTTCAAAATAATCTACTATGCGGAATATGATGGAATACGGCCGCTCTATCTTCTTTTGCTCCCGGAGGCCTAAAAACCTGGGAATGAACTGCTGCTGAGAGATGATGGAATGCCAAAGGTGACACACCAAGCCTGCATGAATTGCATTTCGACTATTTGGCAGCCTAGCTAGTATCTCCAGCAATACGTCATCATTGACACTCTCCTTCAACCAGTTCGGGCCCTCTGCTACAGCTCAAAGCAATAACCACACACATCAAGATTAATATTTATTTATTTTGTCCTAAATAATCCGCCATCAACCATTAATACTATCTTTTTATTATTGATTACCTAGATTAGCAGCACTCATGCCTTCACCATCTTCTAAACCACTGGTTTTGCTGTACTTTTTTTTTATTAGAAAGCTCTGTTGTTGTTCCAATTAAATGCAAAAACAAACAAACAGACAACAACAATAAACAACAGCAACTACTCGTAAGATTTAATTTTTAATTTTTTATAAGAAGACCCGATCTCAAAATACTAATATAAACCTGAAACTCGTGACCTTCGCCGTTGAACAGCCTCTTTGCCATGAATCGATGTTTTTCTTCTCAGTTCTCCCCAAGAAGTTAGGGTTTGGTAAAGCCCAAAAATTTGTCGCCTCCGATCCTTGAGATATGGAATGGTTTCGAGCTTTCCCTTGTCAACGTTGAATGTTGATAGATTGTTGTAGCGGATGGAAACTGAACGATTGCTTCATCAAAAATGGTTAGGACTTTTTAATCTTTTCTCAAACAACATTCATTTAGATTACTACCTCCCTCCCTCTTACATAGTACAGAGCAGGGTTGTTAATGAATCAAGGGAAAAGGGGCAAATAGACCCTTATTTAGGAAGTTCTGTCCGGACGTCGTCATTTGGGGTGGTTCCCGCTGGGATTTTTTAATGAAATTTTTTGAGCATCTTATTCATCAAGTCTAGTTTGCTCATACCAAATTTCAGCTAAAACTTCAATCAGGAAGGCATTCAAATAAATTTTTGAAGATAACTGCGCTTCTAACTGCGCAGTTATTTTCAGGAATTCATTTCAATGTCTTCCCGATTGAAGTTTTTGCTGAAATTTGGTATGAGTAAACTAGACTTAATGAATAATACGGTCAAAAAATTTTATCAAAAAAATCCACCGGGAACCACTCCAAATGGCGACGGCCGGACAAAGACTCCTAAATAAGGGCTTATTTGACCTTGTTTGGTTAGTACATGGGCCTATTTGCACCTTTTCCCATGAATCAAATAATCTATACTCGATTCGTGATTCGAATTCGTATAAGACAATTCGAATTCGGAAAATTCATTTGAATGTCTTCCCCATTGAATTTTTATCTGAAATTTGGTATGAGTAAACTAGACTTAATGAATAAGATGCTCAAAAAATTGCATCAAAAAATTCCACCGGGAGCCACCTCAAATGGCAAGTCCGGACAGAATCTTCTATATAAGGACTTATTTGACCCCCCTTTTATGCAATTTCGAGGACCAAACTGACCCTTATCCGGATGATAAATGTCTAGCGTCAACTCAAGTGTTATTCATGAAATCCTGTCTCGAACTAACAACTCTAATAATATGGGTCACGTTAAGTGTCACGTGTTCTCAAGTAGCATTGTTGAGTGCTTCAATGGAGTCATAAAAAGGTACCGAGACAATCATGTTGATATCCTTATCGACAATATAAGGATTAAAGCAATGAAATTAATGAGGAAAAAAAAGGATAAGATGAGGCTCACTGGAAGTTTTATATGTCCAGAGATACTAAAGAAATTGAATGCATGCATCATGGAATCTACTAGGTGGAATTCTGTTTCATGTGGGGAAGTTATATTTGAGGTTTCACTATGGCCTAAAAGGTTTATTGTTCACCTTGAGAACAACACATGTACTTGTAGGATGTGGGACTTAACAGGTGTGCCTTGTATCCATGCTTGTGCTGCTATAATGTCTATCAAGGCCAGGCCAGAAAATTATATACATGAATATTTTACAAGAGACTATTTTTTAAGAGCCTATGAGTATGAAATAAATCCAATGGGAGGTCTTGATTTTTGGCCTAAAACTAATGATGAGCTCATACAACCACCTTTACTAAAGAGGCCACCAGGGAGACCAAAAAAGCAAAGGCACAAATCATCACTGGAAAGGAAGGATCCACACAAAGCTAAGAGAAAATATGGAATGATTAGGTGTGGTAAATGCAAACAATTTGGCCATAACAAAAGGTCCTGTAAAGAGAAAGAGAATGAACAGGTATGATTTTTCAACTTAGGCTCCAATGATACTTTAATTTGTTTAATGTTATATTGTTATTCTTTTCAGGAGCTGACATGAGGATGTTCCATTTTCACAATCCAGAGAAATGTTTGACAAGACAAGAAGACAGTAGTTCAAGTAGAGATAGCAGTATCAGACCTAGAGGATGAAATTTTCACTTTGATCTTTGCTTTGAGTAGTACATTTTAAACAATGACTATTGATTTTATAGTGTGTCTGGATCTTTTTTTACTTAGATCTATTTTAATTACTTATGGAATGTTTCAGTAACTAGTAAACATATATAAAAAGAAAGTTATTCCTTTCCCTGTGGATACGAACTCTACTACGCTATACTACGTATAAGTGTTAGTATTGAATTTATTTTGAGTGCACACACGACAAAGTGCATGTCAGCAACCCATGCTAAGGTACTCATTTTTCACCTTTTCTTTTCACTTTTTGTTTTTGAATGTTAACTTTGAGAGAATGGGGAAAATTCTCAAAAGAAAATAAGGGAAAATCATGTTTTGAAATCTTGGGAAAACCTCCGATCGGTCATCATCACTTACCCGGTCGGATCCATGCCAAAAAGAGAATGAAAATGGACAAAATCACGCCCCAGGGTAGTGTACCCGATCGGGCCCCACTACGCCACCCGATCGGGTGCAGATGAAAAAGGCAGGGCTGGGGAGAAAAAACCCCATACCCGATCGGGTACACCTAAGACCCAGTCGGGTATAATTCTTGGGAGGCAACCCAGGCTAAGGTACTCATTTTTCACCTTTTCTTTTCACTTTTTGTTTTTGAATGTCAACTTTGAGAGAATGGGGAAAATTCTCAAAAGAAAATAAGGGAAAATCATGTTTTGAAATCTTGGGAAAACCTCCGATCGGTCATCATCACTTACCCGGTCGGATCCATGCCAAAAAGAGAATGAAAATGGACAAAATCACGCCCCAGGGTAGTGTACCCGATCGGGCCCCACTACGCCACCCGATCAGGTGCAGATGAAAAAGGCAGGGCTGGGGAGAAAAAACCCCATACCCGATCGACCCACAACAAAAAAAAAACAGGTCCGTACCCGATCGGGTACACCTAAGACCCAGTCGGGTATAATTCGAAAAAATAAAAACTTTTTCTACGACGCAATTCACCCGATCGAGTACCCCCAAACTCGATCGGGTACGAACCCCTGGAGCGAGTTTAAAAAAACATCTTCATACCCGATCGGGTGGGGCATATACCTGGTCGGGTATATTAAAATTATTTTTGTTGAAATCCCACGGCGCAGTTTGCCCGACCGAGTAATACCCAAACTTGATCGGGCCCAATCCCGGAACAAGAGGAAACAAGAGAGTACCCGATCGGGTATGTCGGGTCACCCGATCGGGTACACGACCTTTTAACCCAAATCAGACCCCTGAATCGACCACTTCATCTTCCCCAGCCCCAAAATTTCGAACCTCTTTCCCCAAATCCACCATTTTCGAACCTTCAACCTCCCATAACTCACTCAATACTCAACCAAATCCTCTCATACCACCACCAAAACACTCCCCTCACCCTTCTCTCCAACCTCATACCCAAAAACCCCCATATCTATCCATCTCCCCAAAAATCCGAAACCCTACCCCAAAAAACCCCAAGTCCGAATCCAAGCTTGAAAAAAGGCAAAAATGGCACCCAAGAGGAACCAACCGGAGAGCTCAAATGCTAGAGGACCAGTTCCGGGGTATGAGACCGTCCGCTTTGTGCCGGGAAATCATTGGGCACAATTTTTGGCTATAATTAAAAAGGCAAGTAGTTCCTTCTAGATTCCTTTGTCATGATGCTCATGAGAAACTAGGCTTAGAGGATGGAATGAGGGAATTATTTGATACATTGCGTATGAATTTGATTTTCAATATGCAATACAATTGTGTTGGCAATATCATATATGAGGTCATGAGTTCCATGAAATTTGTTCTACAAGAGTACTCGGCGGATTTCAATTCCAACAAACTCACGTTTCGTTTGCTCAACACCGAATACTCAATAACGAGACATGAGTTTGCCGCACACTTTGGCATTCCCGTGGCCCATGAGAGGGGGATACCAGAAAGCACACTTGATGGTCATACTTTATGGTAAAAAATGACCAGAGAAGTGAAAGTTAACGCGTCTAAACTCTCCATTAGTCACGTTCAACATCCCCTTCTCCGTATGTTCCTAAAGTTCTTGTGTAATTCCTTGCTCGGCCGCCCCAATAATCACCATACTCGGATGGGGGACGTGGCCATACTCACTCTAGCCCTTTTTGAAAGACCCACCACTTATAATCTTTGCAATCTAATGTGGGATCACTTGGAGGAAGCTTGTAAGAAAACCGGAAACATTGTGGTGGTGGTGGGTGGGTGGGGGGGGGGGGTAATAATGCACTTGGTGTCCAAATTCGGCTATACGGACAATGCTCCAATTCACGCCGATTCTTTGATGCACATTGGTCGGTTATCCAATGCGGGATTGATCTCTTTGGGCAATAAGGACCACAATGGAACCCAATGCTACAAATGGCACATGAAGTACCCCGAAACCATCAAATACTTTCCTCTCCCATGCGACGAATTACCTAGACTTAGGTATAGATGGCCAATCCATGAAGTTAACCGCTACCTCCTCCCGAATAACATTCCACCACACCTCCAAGCTCAAGCCAATCCACCCGAACACCAACCCGAGCATCAACCCGACCACGCCGAGAATCAAGGACATGAAAATGTCCAACATGCTATCCCCGACCCTCCTCAAAACCCGCCACCACAAGACTCCTTTCAACAACATTTGGCGGGTCAACAATCCCTCCTAACCGGTTTTCAAAACATGGGCCTCGAATACACAAAGATGGGAGGGCAATTTGCCCAACTTCAAGAAGAAATAGGCCACTACCAGGAAGAGCAAACGGAAAGGGACCGCAAATTTGAAGAATTTAGGGTGGAACAACAAACGGCTCTTCAAAGGTTGGAGGAGCAAAGAGTGACCGACATACAACGGCATGAAGAAGACTACCGGAGGATGTATGGGCCCACATATTCCTACATGTCCCACCTTGCCGGTTTTGCATCTATGACTTCACCACCACCGACACCTTATTGTTCTAGTTCCGGCGGTGGAGGGTATGATGGCGGGGACACTACCATGGGTGATGGAGGTGCTGATGATGTACACTTGGAGGAGGCTATTATGGCGGAGAAGGCGGGCACTAGGGATAGTGCCATGATCCAAGTGTGGGGGAGGAAGATTCATCTCTTGGTATGTTACATTCCCTTTGTTTTTACCTTGTACTAAGCATTAATTTCTTGTACTTCTTGTACAAACAAAAAAAATAAAAGAAATGAAATGCTAGTTAGGTTGAAAACCCAAAAATTTGGGCAATCTAAGCAACAATGGCTTACAAAAAATAATGAGTGAGTGGTAAGGAAAGGAAAAGAAAAGAGATGCTAGGATGAAAACCGTAAAAGGCTCCTAGGCAAAATGAGAGATTATGAGAGAAAATTTTGTTTTTGCAGGACGTCATCTCATGAAGAAAAAGAAAAAGAAGAGGAAGAAGAAGAAGAAGTGAAAGAAGAAGAAACAAAGAGCATAGAAGACCACAAAACCCAAGACAAAGTTGTTTTTGAAAACTCATTTACAATTCTTGGTGGTCTTGTGTTTTTTCTTGCTATTCTTGAACTCATGACTTTGGTTGAACATTGTTTAAACATTTAGTTTTACTCGAGGTCGAGTAAAAGAACTAAGTGTGGGGCAGTTGACATTCATGTAATTTTCATGTTTATGTTTGTATTTTTAATTAGTTTTGATTGATTTTTAGTTTGGAAATTACACACTTTTGGTGTAATAGTTTAGATTGTAAAATATTTGTAATTTGTGTAGAGTAGATTTATTCTGAGCTCAAACAGGTCCAAGAGCAGTTTAGGGACCATTGGTGAACATCACAAGTGGAAGGAAGGTGCAAAATCTCAAGACAAAATGAAGATCCTGAATTTTGTGTTGTACCCGGTCGGGTATGACCTATACCCGATCGGGTACCTTGCTGAAAAATCAAATCGGATCAACCCGGGAACAAAGCAACATGCGGGGAATATTTTGACCATGTTCAAGTGTCCATACCCGATCGGGTGGCCGACATACCCGGTCGGGTATGACCCTATTTTCCAGCTTTGAGGAAGCTGCATAGTGTACCCGATCGAGTGAGCTGAAAGCCCGATCGGGTACACATCCCTGAATGCCCCAAATCGCTATAAATACACCCCTTTTCCTTCACATTAAAATGACCAATTCACATATACTTCTAAACTCAGTTTAGACAAGTTCTTTCTTTATATTTTCATCATGTTTAGTCTCCAAATGAGGAGCTAAACTCTTCCATCTTGGTTTTGCTACTTTGAAGCTTAATGAGTTGTAAGTTGTGAGTTATTTTCTTTAATATTCTTACTTGAATATTAATTAATTCCTATTCATATTTCATATTAATATTTTGAGCATTACTTAAAGGATCAACTAGTTTTGTTTCATATTGACGTGCACTTGTCGTGTGTGCACTCAAAATAAATTTCAATACTAACACTTATACGTAGTATAGCGTAGTAGAGTTCGTATCCACAGGGAAAGGAAATAATTCTCTTTTTATAAAACTAGCAAATAAAAGGGGGGGTTTAGGATTGAGTGATTTAATTTGATTAAACACAAAGATGAACAACTTATATGTGATTTAATTCAAAGATAAAAAGGACTTGGCATTGCTACTTTCCACTTGTTGATATATTTTAGTCGATCATTGTTATATCTATAACTTATCTCCTCTCGAATACTCAATCGAGGAGTATATCCAATTCATCGAGGGTAGTTATTAACAACGACCGTTCATTAATAACCCTTACTATTAACCAAAATATAGAACAACGCCGTATACCGGTTTAATAGTAGCATTTAACCTCTTTAACTCCTTGATGAAATCAATTGAGATTGATAACCTCAGCACAACGGTTTCGGTTTAACCAACAAAATTGATCCCTCTTAAGTTTATTAACCACGACCGTGCATTAATAAACCGAAGTTACTTACTTGTGAAACCATCAACGTTTAACCATCGGTTCGTTGATCGTTCCTAGTAATAATTAATGTCGGAACGTTGACTAATCGTCACTTAGCCACCCTCCAACATTAATATAGAATGAGATTAAGGGAAGAATTAATAATCAAGAGGAGAAAGTAAGAAGATAACTCACAACTTTAATAATCAACAAGCTTCAAGAGCAAAACCAAGAAATGGAAGTTTAGCTCCTCATTTGGAGACTAAACATACTATAAAAATATAAAAGAAATACTATTCTAAACTGAGCTTAAGAGTATGGAAGAAGGGATGATTAAAAGTAAAGGAAAA